ACAGAACATAACAAACATAGGCGAACAGGTGCTCTGGGTGATGCAGCCATAGACCCCTGCACAGAGCAAGGATCATCTTCATGAAGACATCATGAGGAGGCACAACCCTTAAAAGAAAAATGAAATACCACACAAGGATAGGTGAGGGGAAAAAAAACATATTAAATCAACGAAATGTGACACTATGGTGTTTATAAAAATAAAATAAAAACCTCTGCAGAGCAAAATCACATTTATTAGCCAGAGAAGTAAGTTGAGTTTAGGGGGCGTGTATCTGAAGCCATGAGTGTTGTATGCATTTGTGTGAATATTTGAAGAATGTGCCAGAAGAATCTAGTCCCCCAAAACCCGCCCAGCTATAGTTCAGAATATTGATGTTAACTGTTCATTCTGTGCGTTCTTCGACTTGCTCCGGAAACAAGATTACAGACGGGAGTGAGAGGGAGGAAAGATGGGGGAAGCAAGCCACAAGTCACCGTAAACACCAGGAGAAATTAGATCCACAGCTCTTCAAGGCCATGTAGGGGAGAGCCAGATATGTAATCAGTTGTTTGGAAACAGAAGAAAATGTTTTTGGTCAGGCAGACAATAACAGTTTTCCATCTGCCTTCATGTCCGCTGGTACATCTCAATGTGGTGAATCCAATCAGATAATTAGTGTGGACAATCCCGCTGAGTCGAGCTATCACCTTCTCCAAGATCAATTCCATCTCGCCAGCAAAGTCCAGGAACCACAGCCGGCCCACAATCCTCAACAGAACCGCTTGCAGACAGAGTCCCGCTCACACAAGGCAAAGGTCTGAGTGCTGAAAGAACGGCAATCCTTCATATTGGTCAGGCAGTCAGGAAATGGCCTGAATAACCATCGACGTTGTTTTGTAGAACACCAGGAGACCACCAAGCCAATCTGTAGACTCCAGTGATCAGAATCCAAATATACAAGTGTATCCAGAACAGAGGTCCTACCTTTGACATGTCCTCCCATGGAAGAAAAATTTGTTCCAAAAATGTATTAAGAGACCAGCTAAACAAATCCATAAAAAATAAAAATATCCATAATTTCTGGTTTCAGATGAAAACGTAGAGGAGGCTCCGAGCAGCAAAGCAGGGAAGATAAGGGAAGAGAGAGGGGAAAAGAGTCTTACTCCTCCAAGTGCAAAACAAAAAAAAAATGAATTAATGAAAATTATAAAATTATAACATTAACTTATATTTAGGTCCATATCTTTAGGTCACAAAGTTTTGACCTCCAAGGTTTTATTTTATTTGTTTGCTTGAAAATATGTCATTGCCCAGATAAAAAGGGCTAGTATCTAGACCTGTGGAGGTTGGAGGTTTCCCACTCCTGGTCTACACAAAAACTGTTAGGTAACATACAAAATCCACTTTTTTAGTTGTTAAATGACTTTTGTTGTGTACTTGGAGTCCCCACAAGAGCAGAAAAGTTGAATTTAGCCTCTCCAGGTAGATATACCTTTTATATTCTGTTTGGGTCATATTTTTCAACCCTGTTTGTTTTTTTTATTTTTATTTTCTATGATGTTTTCTGAACATCACAATATTTGCAACAGAACTGCCAAATAAGGTCTGGACTATATAGCCATATCTCTGCTGTCAAACTGGAGTGGATCAGTCTGAAAACTGGAGGTAAAATGGTAAATGGTACTGAACATGTACAGTGCCTAGTACATGCAAGTCGTTTTGGACTCTAAAGCACTTTACACTTATCATCCTCTCATCTTTGTTTTCTTCCATGTGTCTTTGTGACTTCTGCCCCTCAGGAGTCCATGGAGTCTCTGCACAAGCGTTTGGAGCGCAGCCGGCAGATGCAGACCGTGCTGCGAGCTTTTGAGGCTCGGGATCGAAACCTTCTGGAAGATAACCTGTGGAAGGTCTCGTTCTGGTCGTGTGCCAGCGTGTTGGTGATGCTGTGTGTTGCCTTTACCCAGGTAAACAAACCCCACCAACAACAGTGCAGCTTCACAGCTTCACTTCACTCTGTCGCACAACTTGAACCTGATGTCTCTGTTTTTCTCTCAGGTCTACACTGTACGCAGACTGTTTGATGACAGGCGGAGGGTCTATACATAGAGGGGTAATTCTGAAGTTGTATGAGACAGCAGTGTTTCCCCTACCATTATTCACCCCCCCCCCCCTCCCCAAGATGGCCCAACCCTCCAAGAATTTCACGGCACTTAGTCGTTGTTATTTAAATAAGGCCAAATCAAGTCGAGAGCTATTTTTGCACCCATCCATATCCACCTCTCAAGGCTGTGAGCCCTGTGTGTGGTCCTCACAAAGGCAGAAAGACACGTGTGTGTGTGTGTGATTAGACGCGCAATGAAAACTGCTTTTTTTTAATCACGTAGCACCAATGGGACAGCTTTGCAAGCTACTTTTTCTTTCTTTAAAATAAAATGCAACAGGTGAAACCACAGCATGGTTACCTTATCAATAATTACTTTTATAGATTACAGCAAGAATCACCAACACAGACCCGCGTGCGACCAGGTTCCTGCGAGCAGGGTTCGACAAATCCTATTGCCCGACTGCCCAGGGCAAAACCCATATTCAGGCAGGTAAACCATTTCTTCAGTTTTTCATAGGGCAGTTTATTCAAAATATTCTGAAAACAAATGAAGGAATGTAGCGTTTTAAAACACGTATAGAGAGAATAAATCCTCAAATTTTCCCCTCCCGCTGTACAAAAGTTACGTCTTGCCRTCATGTCGCGGGGACATTTCCTCCTCCTTCCCGCTGCACGTCGTGCAGAGTGAAGCTTTAACAATTGTAGTTTTTTCACACCCAAGTTGTCGGAGGAAAAACCTGGGTTTTATGTATTGTTACCCACAGAGATGATAAAAAAAGGATAGGGACGTTCGATCAATCATAAATCCATCTTGCTAATGTAACGGTCGGTCTCTGCTATGAGCGCAGCAGCAGCAGGTCAGTTCAACAGGCAGAAGCTCACTGTATGGCAGGCCGATATTGCATTTACTTGGCTGCACTACACTTACATTCTAGTAATCTGAAATTGTTTTATGACTAAATTGGACATATTAGTTATATAAGAAAAAAATAATAAAATGTTTTAGTTTAATTTGGTTTTGTTTTATTTACTTTTTTTATTTGGAGATCTTTCCAGCTTGAGCTTGTTTGTTTGTTGAAGTTTTTTGAAAATAAGGGACACGTAAGAGTTTTTCCTTCACTCTGCTCCCTTTTAATTCAGGGTAAGGTTTACTTTGTTTTTTAATGCTGTACATATTTTGTTCTTATGAATGAATGAAACAAATAAATAGACATCTCTTAATATATTTTGACAAGGCAAAATACCTATTTAAGGTATCTCTAATTATATTCTGACTTGTATAAATAACATTAAATTTATCATCATGTTGTATTGAGACTCCAGTTCAAGATATCTTAAATGTATCTTTAGATATGAGATTCACTATATAAGATTTAATTAATGCAAATTTCAGACTTTTTCATGTTCTGTAAATTGTATTTAAAACAAAGCTGTTGCTGTTGATCATTCTGTTTTTATAAGCAGCCCTCCAAAGACCAATACGGGAAACACTGGAAAGGTCTAAAAAAAGTTTATTGAAGATGTTTTTGATAATAGAATTGACTGACAACCATGTTAATATTTTGTAGTAGAAAATACAGTACACGTTTTTCTTATATTTTATCAAATTTTGAACATTTTTATGTCGGGCAGGTAACACGTCATCGGGCAGGTAAAAAATAAAAATCTTGTCGAACCCTGCTCGCGAGTCCCGTCATGTTCTAATAAAAGGCACTGATCAGCAGCGCAGCTACGAGCTGTAACGTCCCTCAACTTTTAAAAAAGTAACTAGAGTAGTTTGTGAACTCAAAACACCATAAATTCAGGCAGAATCAGCTGCTGATAGGTTACAAGTCCTGCTGGACTCAAAACACCGAGCTGAGCTCCTCTCTGTCACACACACACACACACACACACACACACA